GCAAAAAATTTTCTTTGTGGAAAATGGATGGGGAAGAAGCATTGCTGAAAAACCAGGAAGGGGAGATGTGATGCACTCTGTATATTTTATTATTGTGATACACTTTGTATGTTTTGGATGGAGAGGAGTTTAGTGTCAAAGTGACATAAATAAAGAAGTCATAAAATATCTTCAGAGATTATTCATTAATTATCACATGGCGCAGTCATGAGGCGGATGTTAATGACAAGAGGAATGAAAATCAATCTGATAGAAAAGATATCTACAATCGAAACGCCAAAGATCTCAATGCAATTCCGAATGAAAGCAGAGTATGGGTGCGAAATCGAATCACTAAAAGATGGGATGAAATCGGACAAGTTGTGGAAACTGAACCGCACAGAAAATACACCATCAAGATGCCAAGTGGAAGAGTGTATGTGAGGAAAAGAAGATCCATCCGTCAGTATTGCAAAAAAAATGAGGGAAATGATAAGGAAGAAGCATTGCTGAAAAACCAGAAAGGGTAGATGTGATGCACTCTGTATATTTTATTATTGTGATACACTTTGTATGTTCTGGATGGAGAGGAGTTTAGTGTCAAAGTGATATAAATAAAGAAGTCATAAAATATCTTCAGAGATAATTCATTAATTTTTTTTGGTTCAACAATGCGCACAGGCGAGTGAAGAAGATCTGCAAGTGTTGTGAAATCTGCCAGTGAGCAAAATGCTCAGTGCTACCAAATCCTGCTCAACATCCTATTATCCCAGCCTCTAAGGATGACATCATTGCGCTGGATCTGTATGGACCATTGATCAAAAGTAGGGGTGGTGCTACTTATATTCGTGTTGTATATAATTTGTTTACCTATCATGTAGCTTTGTACCCATTAAAGAAAACCACTACCAAGTTCATATTAAATCGGCTGCTCCATGATTATTTTCCCAGAAATTCAGTCCCTCAGAGAATTTTGCATGATCATGGGACCCAGTTCACTTCCAAGTTGTGGAAAGAAACTTTAAGTGATCTGGGGGTTAAGGTAGTATTTTGTTCAGTGAGGCATGCTTCCGCAAACCCATCAGAACGTGTTATGCGGGAGTTGAACCGCTTGTTCCGTACATTCTGTAGCGAAAAATATTCTCGTTGGGCCTGGGAGATTGATAACTTCACGGAATTTCTGAATTCAGTGGTGCACGAATCCACTGGTTTTGCTCCAAACGAACTCCAGTATGGTATGGATCCGGTGAGCCTTCTGCCTGCTGTTTTGAAATTCACAGATGATTGTTCTAATCACACACCCGTTTCACCAAACCGGAAGCTGATGATGGCTGAGGCCGCACTGAAAGGTAGAGCAGCCCGTAGAGCCGCTATGAATCAGGGTAGAAGTTTTCGAAATTTTGTAGTTGGGGACTTGGTGCTACTCCGAGCGAACAATACTTCTTCAGCACTGAAGGCCCAAACGAAAAATTTCTTGTTATTGTTCGAGGGGCCTTACCGGATCAAAAAACAAGAACTTTTTCGTTTCGGCCTGGTCTGTAGATTCGATATCAGATATCATTGTATGATTATCGCCCGAAATAGCACCAACACTGAATGAATAAACCATATTTTTCAAAATCCAGTCATCAGTAATTGTTTTGGACCGAACCCTGATTCAACCCAAAAAGTGATCGAAATACTGGTCTATTTTATCTATTCCTTCTGCTATAGATAAGTAAAAAGCATTCAGAGAATCTGGACCAAGTTGAGAGTTGGTGATATTATCTGCATTCTTACCTCTCAATTCATTAACTATCTTTCAGCTCTCTTCAGATTTGTTTGATCCATAATTCAATCTCTCATTATGATACTTTGATTTGGCTAAGTTTTTTAGTTTGGTGTATGAACTACGGTATTTATTGACATGAGATATAAACCCCTGATTATTTTAAGCAGATATCCTTAGACCTTTCGTAATCCAACATCTCAGTGGACCTCTTTTGAGCTTAGTGATTGGAAAGGCGGTATTGTACGTTGTTTATAGTTTCGTATGAAAATCTGAAAAATTATTAATGGTTCCCCAAGATGAATATGAGCACAATTCTTGGAATTTTTCACAGTTGCATTCAGAATGAATTCTACCAAACCTAGGACTACTCTCATTGATGCTGCCCTCCACAGTTGATTCACAATATACTCCTTCATGATCTGAAATGTTAGGAGATACTACTGAACATTTTATATTTTCTAAATCGAAGTGTGTACACATATAGTCTATTATACTCATTGAATCTTTTTAACATATGTGTATGAGTCTACGTGCATTTTCAAGTCAAACGATTTCAGTAAATTTTCCAAATTTTGACAAGATTCATCGTTCTTCTTTTTGAAGTTTATATTAAGATCTCCAGCTAGTATGATATTGCAATCCACTGGTAGCATCGATAATAATAGCTCAAATTTTGTCAAGAATATTTTTATATTATCAGAAGTGGTATATTTATCATTATTTGTTCGATATAGACATATAATTTATAGCTTCAAATCAATATTGTGGACCAGACAAAATTCAAATACCTGCTCCTTTATCAGATTGTTAAATGTATCAACACTTCTGAAAGATAATTTATGAGATTTTACAGTATTCCTAATAAGTATTATTATTCCCCCATGCTCTTTGTCTATCCTATCAAACCTAGAGATAATATCATAATCACGCAAATAAACGGCTTTATATTCATTAAGCCATGTTTCAGTTAATAAAACTATTGTAGCGAAACCTATTTCATTATTATAGGCCTGATAATAAAGTGTCTCGAGTTGTACTTCTCTCTCTAATTTTGTTTTCCGCGACGTCCATGTTCGCATGTTTATTAATAAATAATACTGAATACATTCTGTATATTCTGCTACCTGTAAATCCAGCTCTATAGAGGAACCTGTGGGTTAGGCCGTTAACAGGTGCCTTTATTTTCCATCTCGCGGTTGTATTTCCGTCCGGTAGATGGCGCTGCGATGTCATTTTGTTGTACTTACTTGTTATTTTGTTGGGATAACAAAAAACCATGAAAAAACGTTTAGCTACCGATTTATCTTCTGAAGAAGTTCGACATTTCCATGCTTCATTTATTCTCCATATTGCCTGATAAATGGACGAGGTATCTGGTTCGTGCCTATAGAGCTCTTTGGAAGTCACGCAAAAATTGCATTGGATTGACAATTTTGCAGCCTGGTCTGTAGGTGAGAGAATTAATTATTCATTGTGACAATTAAAGTAATTTATATAATAATACATTGTACCGTATTCGAGCTGAAAACTTATGTTCGGGATTTGATATAGGCTAACTACATTTTTTCTTCCTTGTAGATTCGATATCAGATATCATTGTATAATTATCGCCCTAAATAGCACCAACACTGAATGAATAAACCATATTTTTCAAAATCCAGTCATCAGTAATTGTTTTGGACCGAACCCTAATTCAACCCAAAAAGTGATCGAAATACTGGTCTATTTCACTATATCTGGAAAGTCCAGTTTTTCCAAATAAATATATAATTCATCACATTCGTTCCTCAACGACTGTATATTCAATAAAAATAGGTTCACTCTTGTTTATTCTTCTCCTGCTCTAGTTTTCCACCTCTTCTGCAAACTACTCTTCTTAGATACTAGTTGATTTGTGAAATGTTCACATACATTAAAATTATCTCTTAAATTATTATCAGTGTGATATCCAGCATCTGTTACTATTATATCAATGGTGTTATCGACTATGTTTCCTCCGCATGCGGAGGTCCCTAAGAAAAAAAAGTGTTGTTCCGATTGTGCTCAATTTTCGAAACAATGGTTTGTTTCTTCACGAATCCAGTGATACAATAGAAGATGTCATCAATTATGAAACTCCTACTGCCTCTATATTTCTGATCGTTCAGAAAAGTTACAGAACAATTTCTGTGGTGCCTTCTGAACGATTCAATTTTTGAAAATATGATATCAACGATTTTTATATCAATTGCACAGTCACATTCCGCAATTATTACGACGTTTGTTGTTTCACTAAGACCCAGAATATTTTTTATGGCTGCATTCAACGATTTATTGTTACTGATATTTCTCGTGTTAAACATCACAATAACAATGTTTTCCGGACCATACTCAACAGTATCTACGAACATATTTTTTGTCAACTCAAATAGTTCCTTGTTATTTATAACTTTTTCATCAATTTGGTACGTTTTGTTACTATTAATTATTTTGTTCAAAGCTTTACTGAACCCTGATGCATACCCATCGCCAAACACACAATTTTTTGTCAAAGGACTGCTATTTCCGGGATTGTCATACGTTGGTACTAGGTCGTGGTTATTCTTCGGTAGATCCTTCGTCTCTGCTGAAATAATCTGGACATCTGGCTCCTTCATTTGATCTGTTTCGATCCTCTCAGCTTCTTTGTGGATCTGCTCAATTATTTTACTATTCGTCACTTCTACACATCTATAACTTGCTTATTCCTACTTTTATTGTCATTGTTGCTCATTTTGTTTATCAAATGTTCATTTATTGTTTCTTCCAAAAAGATTGCTTTCTTTTCTTCATTCTTGCCATCATCCTTCTTTGCATTCGTTTTGCGCTTTATACTCGGATTTGTGCTCGGCTCGCTTATTTCTTCAACGATGAAACCATTTGATGTTCTCATTGTGCGAGCTTTTCCACATTTCTCATTTTTCATATTCTGACCACTCATTATAGCAATTTGTTTCGTTCGAATTTTACTGGTTTTCTTTCACTTTTTGGTTGGTTCAAGCTTTTGTGAGTAAACTGTTTCACCTCCAACTACATCCGTGTATCTTTCATACTGTTGCAAAGATTCCAACTGTTTTTCCAGTCTCTTGATTTCTTGATATAATCTTTCATTCGCCTCTATAAGGAAAGACATCTCTTTGACAGAGTTGTCATTTATGAACTGCATAGTTTTCAACTCCTCCTTCAGATTATCATTTCTCTTTTCCTCTTCCTTTGTTATAAATTCAAATTTCTACCTTTCGGTACCCAAAATTTCATCTCCAATAGTATTCGATGTTCTTTCACTTTTTGTTTTAATAATATCATTTTTATTTCTCAGTTCTCTGAGTTCAGTTGTGAACAATTCGTTCTCCTGGGAGAGACTCTCGATGACTTTCAACATGTTTTGTTTGCTTATTTCCAGGTCGTGTAGATCTTTCTGTAGCCATTCCTCGACAGCTGATTTGGAATCTACTTCAGTCATCAGGTGTCTGTTCAATTCAGTTTGCTTGATTAGTTCTTTATTCAGCTCAGCAATAGTTTGCTTTTGTTCATCTAATTTCTTGATATAGTTCTGTTCAGCAGAAAATACGTCTTCTTCAAAGCTTATAGAAACTCTTTTCAATCTTTGTATATAAACGTCTTTTTGTCGATTTTCTTTATGAAGTTTGTTAATTCCGTCTTTAAAATTCCTCGTGTTTACTACTCCTACTTCTAACTCTTCCAAAAGACCATTCTTTGTTTTGATATCATCTTTCAGCTTTCCAACCTCCTCAAATAGTTTATTCAATTGATCGTCATTACTCTCTTTCTGTCTAGCACACTCTTGTGAACAAATTATTTTATGTCCTTCAATTTTCGTCATTCGCTGCGTTCTATTCAGGCAGCTGAAGTGAAATATATTCAGGCACTGCATACAGCAAACATTAGGACACTCCTTCGTTTTACAGCACGTAAATGGTGCCTCCATGTTAACAGATCCACTTGAGGTGGAGCCCGGTATAGGACGGATCGCCTTAAGTTGATATATGAAAGAACACTGAGGCGTTATCGGTTTTTACGTAGGGAGATTAACTGAACACTTTTTCAATGCACAAATCCACTGATTTACGAGGATGTCTTCTATTTCGATAATCAGATTTCAATTCAGCATCACTCATCAGTCTATGATTTTGTCGCCACTCATAATAGTTATTATGTACGTATACTAGAGGAGAATGTCCTCTTTCAGCCGGTTTGAAAACCCGAAACAAATTCACTTAATTCGCTATAGAATACAGAGAAAACAGATACCACAACCGATACACGTCGTTCTCGTGGACTTCCATACAATTTCGGTATTCGGAGTAGAGGTTTCTTGTTGTGCCTGTTGTGTACGTTGTACCCTCTGATGTCGTCTCATATGATCGTTGCGAACTGAATAGAATACAAAGATACAGTGTGCAGACTGATGTTGTCGAAATATCTTCACTTGCCTATTGTTCTCGTTAAATGTCTGTAAGAGTCTTTATTCTGGGGCCCTTACTTTGACACTTGTCGAACAGGCTCTTGGGACCTTTCGGGGTTTCTCGAGCGCCAGATTTTTGATAGAGGTGATTTACTTCACCTGCTTCTCCCAACTGAGTCGAAAAGGAGGCCCAAGGTAGCAACAGTGAAGAAAGACATCCACTGGATGTCTGCAGTAAACCAGGGGTCAAAGCTATTGAATCGACCTGGGTGCAGGGGGCCAAGAGAGCATAGGCTCTAATTACACACTCCTGGGGATTCCTGAAATACTGGTTGCTCTGAATAGATGTTTGAGTCGTCACTTCTTGTGACTTGAGTACTACAACTCTTACCGGTAGTTTTCTGGAATTTGACTTTGTTCTGTACCTTCGTTGTCAGGATAGGGAAATCAGAATCACATAAACAGGTATAGGTTTATTCAACTTCTTTCGTTCATCAGGTTACAGGCATCAATTAAAGAAAGCAAAATCTATTATACAAACAGGTTGAGGTTATGATGTTATTACAGTTATTAAATTGACCTTCACACTGAAAATTATGACATTCGAGTATATGCGAGTACAATAACCAAGCGTGTCTAGTACGTTAGGTGTAAGCAAAGGTGCAAGTGCAGGTGCAAGCAAAGCAGGGACAATGAACCACCGAATACGACCGGAAAAGTTGCAAGCGGGGGTTTATTCAGGAAAGTGAGTTTGGTATCGACAGGAATACAGGGATGAAATAATTTAGTTAAATCATTAACGCGGAACAGACTGGTGAAAAGTACTCCTTCAGAGTGTAGCTCTAACTCTGGCTCATAGCAGTATTCGGAAGCCGTCTGCAGGTTGACTTGCGAATCCAACTTTTTTCAAGCAAAAGGAGACGGGCCCTGGATCCACACAGGCGGACTTCTAATCTCGAAACAATCGGAGTAGGGTGTCCCTAAGCTCGTGGCGAGATCCACCCAAAGGTTGAGCCGCAGAGCAAAACTTAGGAGACACTACTATTTTTGGTACAACAGCTACGTTACTCATTAACTCTGAACATCTGAACGTGGAGTATTCTTCACCAGACAAAGTTTCAATCTACTCAGGTGATATTTAACTAGATACAAAACTCACTTAGTACAGGGTGATAAACTATAAGCAATACAATAAGCGTACGCAAACCAAGTCGAAATAGCTTACTTGGATGAAACATGAGTACTGCTGGCTGCGGAACACTCGACACTGCTACTGGCGCCACCGCGAAGGTTCGGATATCGGCCCGGGAGATGCAAATCTATACACTCGATGGATTCTTCGGAAAATAATACAGGTGACAGGTGTTAGGTTATGATTTCCAAAATTGTAGCAAAATGCATGAACCGGAAAACTGAAAAATATGCTGGAATTGAACTGACTGGAAATGTGAAAAGGGACTGGAATCTGAACTGGAATGTAAAGCAAACTGGAATAACTACCCGGAGAAATAACTGGAAAAATTAACTGGAAAACAATCTGGAATTGTGAACTGGAAAAATAGCGCAAGCACAGGAACACTGGTAAACCGACTGGAAAGTGATACCGGAGAATCGAACTCGAAGAACTAACTGACTGTCGGACTAACTCACTCTGGACTGACTGCTAACTAACTGCTCGCTCTGATGGACCAAGTATTTATGTCCTGCCTAGACCTTGACGCAACTTGAGCAAGGCCAACAGCTATCCTTGCTCCTGATTGGCTAGCTTCGACTGACCTCGTGAAAATGCCGGTACCAACCGTGGAATCCGAAGTTGTCCTTGGAAAAATAAAAATGCGGAAATGATATTTCCTTGGCCACAAGGGCCTAGACACCTGATCAACCTTCTTTGCGGAAGCTACTGAATGAATTTTTATATCCCACAAGCAGAGATATTCAAGTTATTGCTAGGTAAATATTTGGATCTTCAAGGTCTAGGCCGAACATGTGGAAATTATGAATTTTCAGGAAGTCTTACAATCAGGGGCTTTCAAAAGTTGCAGGAAGTCCTCTCGCATCTTCAAGACAGGCTAACATTTTACTCTATTCATCAGGATTGCTTTCCAAACATAATAGAGGTTCTGACTCAGATCGCTGCTCGCTTTCAACCCAATTCACCACTCAGATAGAAGAAATGGAGAAGAAGCTGCAGCTAGAAATAGAAAGAAGATCTTTGCTGGAGAAGTCTGGAAATGATCAACGACCCATGATTGAAACCACAGTGGGGCCAGATGCAGTGACTACTACCAATCGAGTGAAACCACCTACATTTGATGGACAAACATCGTGTCCGAACTATCTGAAGCAAATCGAAGCAGCTTCCAAAGCCAATGGGTGGACATCCAAGGACGAAGTTGTGGCTCTAACATTAGCTCTACGGGATGATGCATTGAACATCTTGCAAGCCATTCCGGAAGGTGAGGTCGATAGCTACTAACATCTCGTCAAACGTCTCGACATGCGATATGGCCATGAACACCTGCAGCAAGTGTTTCAATCACAAATGAAGAGCCGTCGACAGAGAGCCAACGGGAGTCTTCAAGAATTTGAAGTTGATGTAGCCCGATTGGTCCACTGTGCCTACCCGTCAGCCCCAGAATCCCTTATGGAATGTCTAGCTGTTCAAACGTTCGTGGACGGATTGCGGGATATCGAAATGCAGAAAGCAGTTCGCCTGACTCGACCAGAAGACCTAACTAGTGCTCTGGCAGCTGCGCTTGAGATCGAGGCCGCAGCAGAAGCTTCCCGAGGATCAGCGAGAGTCCGAGCAATGAACGACAGCGGAAACATAGTGGAAAATACCAGGCAAGATCCTACTGAAGCCTTGATCAACGCCATCCAGGCCCTCTGGGATAAGGAGAGAAGACCGGTACGTTGTTGGAATTGCGGGGAGTTGGGCCACCTCCAAAGACCTTGTAAACGTGTGAAACAGGCTGCTGAGGAAGGATCATCTTCCACGCAGCCGCAGGAAAACTAGAACGGGTCGACTTCGAGGGGGCAGCTTCGACCCGTCATTCTCAAGACCCTCTCATCTTTGTGGCATCCCTACGGCGTGATAACAGCAGCGTCTACGTGGATGGACAGATCGACGGAAAGAATTGCGCACTGTTGGTGGATACTGGTGCATCGAAGACGATCCTGCGACGTGGACTTCTGACGTCTTCAAGAAAGCAACTTGTGAACTCAAGATGGCGTCTGAGAACTGCTACGGGTGAAGCTGCCACCGTTTATGGGGAAATCGATGTGGATATATTGATCGAGACCGTCAAATTTCCACATCGAGCTATCATGGCAGATATTGAAGAATATGTTATTCTGGGAATGGACATCATGGGTGCGCAAGGATTTCAACTGGACTTTAGGAGCCGAACACTCAAGGTGGGTGCCGAAGAGATCTTCTCACATCCACGAGTGGAGGTAGTGGCAGGGGTAACGTAAGAAGAGGACGACCTGTTACCGAAACGGAGAAAGACCATTGCAGCAGCGCGGATTGAGGGTAAATTGGAGCAAGACAGTCCCATCATCATGGAACCCAGGAACGATGACGAGGAAGTCGGACGTGCAATTTTAGTCGGCAAGGCTTTACTGTCAGCAGACGACCATGTACCTGTTCGATTTATCAACATAAATAATTACCCTGTGACGATTGGCAAAGGAACGAAGATTGAAACCTGTGTCCCGGCAGCCTCCATAATCCACCAGGTAACAGCAACCACTGATGGGGCCGGCAAGTATGGAGAACTCGTATCTGCTGCAAGCGACTCACTCAACAACCGACAGAAGAAGAAGTTAACCGAGTTACTGCAGAGGTATAGATCCATTTTCATACCTGCCAATGGAAAAACAGGTAGAACCAACATCTTCAGTCACAAAATCGATACGGGAGATACCAGACCGATTCGTCAACCAGCCCGAAGATTACCACAGGCCAAGAGAGAGATGGCAGAAAAGTTCATCCAGGATATGGAACAAGACGGAGTAATCGAGCCATCCAATAATCCTTGGGCTTCACCAGTGGTACTAGTGAGGAAGAAAGATGGAAACACTCGTTTCTGCGTGGACTATCGCCGATTGAACGACGTGACGAAAAAGGACAGTTATCCTTTGCCTCGAATTGACGACACACTCGACACGTTGGCGGAATCGAATCTTTTCTTCACTCTGGACCTGAAAAGTGGATATTGGCAGGTGGAAATGGATCCGGCAGATAAGGAAAAGACAGCTTTCACCATCGGCACTGGATTATGGCAATTCAAGGTAATGCCTTTCGGACTCTGCAATGCTCCGGCCACCTTCGAAAGAATCATGGAGAATGTGTTGAGGGGACTCTTCTGGAAGACATGCCTGGTTTATCTGGATGACATCATCGTGATTGGTAGAACTTTTGAAGAACATTTGGCTTACCTAGAGGAAGTTTTCAAAAGACTTCAGGCAGCAAACCTCACACTCAATCTGAAGAAATGCCATCTGCTGCAGAAACGGGT